AAATACATTTTTTAAGTGGCACAACTTTTTCATTTATTTATGATTTAACCTCATCTTTGTGTGGTTTTGCTTGGACAGTCTCTGGACTCCAGTTGTGACATGGCTTGTCTAAAAGAGAGGATTCAGAAGTCTCAGGAGGAGCGTGAGAAGAGAGAGGAGCGTCTGCTGCAGACCCAGACGCTCCAACAAACAGGTAACGTGATTGGCTGACGAACGCAGAAACAAACTAACACTGCTTTGATGCGCCCACTGACTTCTGATGGCCATCTTGAGTGTTTAAATTTAGATCGCATGGTGAGAAACTTGAGCAGTTACCACTCATCGGTCACACTTATTGACACATTCTCTCCACCTCCTTTTGCTTTCGTCGTTTCTTTTTTTAGACATGGAAGAAGAGGAGGAGATAATATGCTTTGCGGACCCATCGCGATTCATCACAGACCCTAACTTCTGCTACGAGGAGTTTGCTCGTAGAGAGGAGGACCACTTCCAAGTATTCAGAGTTCAGGTGGGGACATTTTGCATGAATCATCAGACAGGTGGTGTTGTCAGTAAACTTTAAGTGTGTGTTGTGCCACTTGAAGCTTTGGCCACAGGGAATATTTGCCCCAGATTTGAAGATTAGATTAACACAGTTCTAAATCCACAGTGTTCGATTACAGCCTGTCACCTGAGTAACCAAACAAATGCTTTACAACATGATACAGGATTTTAGACCTACTGTCAGTTCATGTACAGTAAACTGACATGTGTAATATAAGCTTCGATCACATGTCTAGTAGCACTTAGAAGGGTTCTATGTTTGAATGGCCAAGTTCCATACTGCACCAGTGACACAGTCAGACTCAGAGTGGACTGCTGTGGCCACTGGCCAAAATAAAATGTAAATTAGGTTTCTATAATCAGACCGCTCCAGGCACAGCAGCTCAATCAATATTGATTTTGACGTTTTAACACATTTGTTTGGCTCCGGATCTCAAATTGGTTCCTGGAGGGAAAATGACAGATAATCATCGGAACCACCAGTTTCTTTTTTTATTCTCTCAAATATTTACAGTTCCTATTTAGATATTAAGTGCACAAAGCTGACTGTTTACATTTTAGCTGTATTCCTGCAGCCAGATGTTTAAGATAAGATAATATAAAGGTTTATTAGTCCCATAACAGGAACATTTGCCGTTTTACAGCAGTGAGAGTCAAGTGTCATTAAGGTGGTTGCATGTTGTTAAAAAAAGAATATCACTGTGTTATTTCTCACTTTTCTCTGGTCTCCGAAAAATGATTCAATGACAAACAAAACCTGTATAAAATTGTTTGGTTGAACACGTCTCAAACCGTAAACATGTTGTCGTTGCATTGACTCTGTAGGACTATTCGTGGGAGGACCACGGCTTCTCCTTAGTAAACAGATTGTATTCGGACATCGGGCACCTCTTGGATGACAGATTCAGGAGTGTGACCACTCTCCCCTCGTTGCACAGCTCTGACCTGAAGAGGGCGATCTGGAATTACATCCATTGTGTGTTAGGAATACGGTGAGACGGCCTCTTCATTTTATTCACCTGCCAGCAATTAAAACACCTTTTTTACACCAACCAAACTTACTTTTCATTGTAAGTTAAGTCAACAAGCATTTTATTCTGTGGCCGCAGCTATGACGATTATGACTACGGTGAAGTGAACCAGCTGCTGGAGCGAGATTTAAAGCTGTACATCAAGGCTGTGGCCTGTTTTCCGGATGCCACCAAAACTCCAGTGTGTCCTCTGAGTTGGGCTCTGCTTAAAACTTCCGAAAGGGTAAGGACGAGTTTTTTCATATGGAAACAGTGTGAGGCTCTGGACAGCAAGTCACCTCACAGTTTACACGTTCTCCCCATGTCTGCGTGGGTTTTCTCCAGGTTCCTCTTCAGTGTAAAGACAGATTGGCTTTAGGTTAATTGGAAACTCTAAATTGGCCGTAGTGTGAGTGGATGTTTTTCTCTATATGTCGGCTCTGTGATATGCTGGATTGACTCCGTCCCTGCCGCTACCCTCAAAAGGATAAGCGGTATAGATATTGACCGGCTGGCTCAATGAAATGTACCATATTAATTAAATAGCACGTGTTAACCTGCTGTGTGTTTTCTCCTTCAGATACATGTGAATTTACTAATCATGGAGGCCCGGCTGCAGGCGGAGCTGCTGTACGCCTTGAGAGCCATCACTCAGTACATGATTGCCTAAGTGCTTGGAGGGGCACAAAGTCAAAATTCTTCACCGGTACCGAGAGACCCAGAGACAAGAGGATAAAGACGCAGTGAAGTGGGATGAGAGCACTTTGAAGGACACAGCTCTGTTGTTTTGTAGCTGTGCCTCATGAATATGCTTCTCTTTTCCTCAGAGTTAATGTATTTATACCATAATGTGCCACAGTCCCCTCATCGCCCCTTTCTGCAGACTCCTTTGTGACGTCCTCTTGTCAAACACATTGACTCTGAAGATCATGTGCAATTATTGACTAGCGTTGTTTTAATTTTTACCTGTTATGTGTTCCAGCTCAGTCTGCGAGAAACCGCTTGGGTGTAGCAGCGTGTTACAGTGGCCAATGTCCTTTTTTAAGTTTGATCAGTCTCCTTTACTTTCCCAAAACATATCTCTCTCTGTACAAGTTGAATGAATGTCAACGGGAGACCAGGGCTTTTGTTTTTGTTGTTTTTTTTGGACAATCCTCGTCAGTGTTGGAGGACAGTACATGGACTGTGAAGGACGACCATTTTGCTCTCCCCAGGCATTTTGTATTAATGCTGGTGGAGAACACACACAACAGTGACACTGCTGGAAGTTATCACATCACTATAGTTTCTTTTAATAAGCACTTTTTAAAACTTTATATATTTATAATGCAAGGTAGCTTGTTAGTGGACATTGAGACACACAGTGTGTGGGTCTGATACCTTTTCTTTGTCACTGTATGACATGTAACAAACATTTTTAGACTGTTTGTCCTAAAACTTTCAGAGTTTTGTGCTCAGCTGCAGATCTGAGTGAAGTTTCATCTTGATCCAAGATATTTCAGTGAATATTCTTATTGGAAGGATTTTGAACAATGAATGATTTGACACAATTTACGCCTGATGAGAACATTAGAAACTGAACTGGTCAGCGAGCTGTTTCTGACAGTGGAGATGAGGCTGAGCCATTTGCAGCATGATTTAGGTTTTTTTGCACTGACATGCTTCAGAAATGATCAAATACTGACTTTCAGACCAAAGGTCATTACAAATAAACTTAGTGGTGAGTTGGCAGATGAAAAGTGCGCGGACGTAGATCTGCACTGGTCGTAAGTTGAGGTTAAGTTCAGATTTTTGCTTTGTGCTAAAGCTATTTTGTGAGCTTTATCAAAGCTGAAGTGAGAATCCACGGTACAGTTTGCGGAGAGGAACAATGTGCAAACCGGTTGTTAAAATACTCTTTTTCTTTGTCTTTTCTTTTTACAGTTTTTGTAAACGATAAGAGTACTTTTTCTGTTTAGTTTCTGGGTGTGACGGTAGGACCTGCTTGTTGTGTTGCAGCCTGGGTAGATTTAGAGGTGTGTCGGACTGTTTAGAGTTAGACGTTAGATTTAGAATAAAGAAACAGAAGTGCATATCGACTAAAGCAAAGCGCTGTTAATACAGGTGCCTTCAGATTTAACTGGAGTGCAGCTGAAGTGGAGGGCTGTGACTCCTGGAGGCTGAATGTGGGCTTTGGTTGCAGCTGGGAAACGCCTCCACCTGACAAGTGTTGTTTCCCACATTAATGAGAACTGTGTTTTCTGACGGTGGTCGGTGCCATTTCTGATAAATATTACGGCTGTAAACGCCTGTTTTGTTTTTTTAATCAGAAATCATCTACGAGCCCTAGCAACTCAGCGAGAGCCTTTGACACAGATGGATGTTTAAAAAAAGTTCAACTTTAGCAGAAGAAAAAATGGACAATTAACTTAAAAAAATAGAACAAATGAAAAACAAAAAAAATGTTTTTTGAAAATGTGAAGAAATGTTTTCTATAAAGATGCTTTATGAAAATAACTGCTGCCTCCTGTTGTCTGTTCTTCTACGGGCTGCATGTTTGCATCCATTTAAAAATCACATAATCCTCTTGGTATTGAATCACTTCCCTAATGTTTAGACTGCCTTTGTATTTTTAAATAATTTGAAATCCACTTGTGGTTTGTATGGATTCCTTATGTTTTTATCCAACAGTTCATCACAGTGCATCCATTTCACTGTTGTTAAGTCTGGTATAAGCACCTGGGTGCAAGTCCAGAGCAGTCAGCAGTAAAATCTTAAAACAAATTCTAAAATTAACTGGAGGCCATTGAAGAGATGTTAAGATCATAGTTATACACTTTCTGTCTTTCAGCAGATCTGATGAAGAGTCTGGCTGCTGTGTTTTGGACGAGCTGTAATTCATGTAGACTGTCGGCTCGGGCAGGTGAACGAGAGGAAATGAAGGCATGAGCGAAAATCTGTTTCTTCTGGTTAAAAACGTGCTGAACTTTGAGTTTTGTCCTTCAAACACATTGTGGGGGGGGACATGAAATAATTAAAATGTGGAATTCACTTTTATATTTGGATTATTTAAAGCCACTTACATTTTCTTTTTAACAGAAGCGATCTCAACGTCTTGATCTGCAGACGAAGTTTGTGTTTTAGAAATAATAATTCAACCTTGAATTAAAACTACTAACTGCTGTGTGTGTGGTTAGTTGAATTCTTTGCAGTAGTATTCCTGTCAAGCAGCGCCCCCCAGTGGCAGACCTGCATAGCTGAAAAACACCGTGTCAGAAGCATGAAAACTCAGTTTGGACCAACAACTCAGACAAAGTGGGTTAAACAGTTTATTGAATTTATTTCTGCTGCTCAGAACTGTTTGTCATCGCTGGCTGACTTTACAATGAGTAAAGAAAGAAAATGACTGAAGGGGGGGGAGAAAACAGAAAAGAACTATCGACATTTAATCAAAAATCATAAACATTATTGGCTGATCCACAAACTTATCATCCCCTGCCCACCCCACCCTCCCCTGTGGAAAAGAAGATAAACAAAACAACCCTCGCCGAATACTAAAATACTGTATCAAATGGGGCAAATTTTTAAATTTCAAAGCAAACATACAGGAACTAACTGCTACTTTATAAGGAAACGGAGGAAAAATATGTCGATATTTGTAATTACTTAGAGGGGGAGATACAAGGGGAAGTCATAATACCACATCTGACCTTTTTTTTTAAGGCGGCAACAGTAAACTAGAGGCGTGAAAGCCAGCTGCAGCTGATTCTCACAAACCAACCACGTTCACATGCTGCGGTCTGTCCTATCCACAGTTAAAAACATCTCCGACACCTGACCGTTAGTGAGGAAAAACATGGGGGTCTGTTGCACATACAACATTCTAAAATTATAACATGCTATGTTTTTAAAATAATAAGAAAATCATGCAGTTTTAAAAAGCTGGTCCTTGGTTTTCAGATTGATTTAAGTGACCAGGTTGGGGAAGGTTATTATTCACTGTATATATATTTTTAAAAAAACATTAAACAAAAGGGAAATGATTCAAATCAAGATCCTTGCGCTGAATACAGAAAATTCAAAAGGCCCTGATTTGCACCCACTGCGTCATGGCGTACTCCAGGATATGTCACGGAAATGACATCTAGCACCAAAAATAAAATACATTTGTGGAAAAAACCAGAGTGCTTTGTATAAATCAGAGGCTAACATGTTCACATATCTACAGTGAAATTATGAATATCAGGAGTTTAACTGTTGGGATGTTATTTCTGATTCACAAGAAACCTGCTGGATATGAACAAAGTCTTTACACAGAAACACAAAACACAAACTTTTCAAGGGGGAGATGACAAAATAAAATTCCATCCTGCTACAGAGTAACATCATACTACAATGTTTTAAATGTTGGCGTCAAAAAAAAGAAAAACGAGGGACAGGCTAGTGCTGATGAATGTGAATGGAGAACTAGAAGAGGTTTCTCTAGAGAGGGTAGTTAAACGTGACATCAACAGAAATGTCTCCAGGAAAAACTAAAACAAAGATATTGGTTTCCAGTCTGTTGTAACAGAGAAAAAAAGAGTAAAATCAACATTTCTTTTGTTGCTATCGTCACGTTTTCTGATTCAATCTGTGCAGAGTTGTTTTTTCTGAGCGACCCTGAGAGGTAACGGTTGCATTAGTCTCGTTTTGAGATGAGAAAGTGGCACAGGCGTTCTTTTTAAATCATGCCACGCTTCAGCACAGATTTCTTTCAATTGGATTCACAACTAATGCTATAAAATAATGAGGCAGACGATCGGGAATTTTTCTTGTAAATAGTCAAGTATTGATGCGTCAGATTTCACGTTACATGCAGCGTCTGTTGCTAAGCGTATATGTACACCAAGATACTGTGTCAGGCCCAAGCTCCCTAAATGCCATGCGAATGCAAATATTAGTGTTCCTTTGGTTATGTAAAAAAAACTCTACATGCATCTCATCCTTTACAAAAATAAAAGTATAGAAAATTACCGTTAAAAATGATCTGAAAATGCTTCCTCCAATGTAAAAAAAATCACGTGTCATTAGTAATATATTCATATGTATTAATATCTCATTTATTACTTCCATCTAAATTGTATATTAAAACTATAATCAAATATATTCTTTTTTTTCGTACTCCTCACACACAGTGAATTAATTTCTTGAATATTAGAGCTAAATAATTAAAGTGTGAGAGGATTTTCTGACATGAGGCCCACACACCTCCGTCACCCCCCCTAGACAAAATATCAGGAAAATGTTAAATAGCAAAAACCTTCAAGAGGCGATTTTTCAAATTTCCTTCAAGATTTCATTTTGTTCTCCTGATAATTCTGCATAGCGTGTCATCATGTACATGTGCAATGTGTACATTACATGTTATATTCTTTTATAATGAAATGGTACAACCGTAACGTGTATTCTTAGTTTGGGGTCCCTGTGTCGCAGGAAACCTAAGTGCTTTGAAAATGCACAGGCTCGAGGGGAAAAAAAAAAAAAGAAGGAAGAAGAAAAATAAAATCAGGTAGACCATTTGACAGTGGAGGCATATTGCTGTTTAAGACAATGTAATACTTGGCCAACCAATCACTCGTTGGCAAATAAATTTACCCTTGAATGCCCTGTGTATGTCACAAATCACATTTCTTCATTTTCTTAGTTTAACTGCACATCAGGGATAAAAGATTTTAAAAAAAACACCCTCTAACTCACGTCTATCTCACCACACTGGATTGAAAAATGCCAAACTGCGAAAAACATACCCTCTTGGGTGAATCACCACATTAGGGCTAGGCGATAAAACAACAAGAATCATTATCACGATACAATGTTCTTCAACCGCAACATAACAAAAGTTCATTATTTATCACTATGATGCTTATGACCTCAGATTCATGTGATGTTTCGCTGTTTGGAAAGTGTTTGTTGTTTTCTGCCCATGAAGAAGAAAAGTGTCAAACAGAAGCAAGAATCAGCCTCTGAACTTGAAAGAAACAAAGATTTGATGTTTATCGTGATAATTGTCGATTTCAACTGATATGAAATTTGTTTTATCGTGATAATACATTTTTGATGTATCACCCAGCCCGACACCAAAAAAAATCTTTTAACTTTTTTTTCTCTTAAGTGAGAAAATGAATCGTACGTATGATCTTAGTTTTAGTACACGATTGGGCAAAATGTAAAGCCGACGTTCAATCAAATATTTTTTATATCTCCAGTCATCCGGTCTTTATTTTTCACCTCTTCACAAACAGCCACGATCCCCAGTGTCTTCACGGAGGACGAGATGTTTCCTCTGGAGCTGGTCTGAGCTGGTGCAGCAGGGTAAGTGCACCTCGTTCAGACGATCAAACAGCATTTGGTCTGACAAGTCATTCTAGGCAAGTGTCGATGGGAAACTGGCCATTTCTCCAAAAACGCAGTCCGTCGAGTCTTCAAAACCAAACCCATCGAGATCGTGGGGTACCGTATTGACCCTAAAGCTATTGTGATGAAACACAACTGTAATATAAACACCCGGCAGGCGGGTGATTTGTCTTTTTCACTCTAAAAACATTATTTCACGTCTTAAAAAAACGGGTTGAATTCAAAGGTAAAAATGGCTAGCAGCCAAATTGTTGCAAGTGTTATTATAAAAAAAAAAAGGAGAAAATGTGTGCATAGTATCCTGCATCATCTCCTCCCTGTCCTCTGCAAGTGTTGGCACAGGACATGAGTGAGGTCTGTTTTAGTCCAGGGAAGTGTTGTGTTTGAGAATGAGCCATCATCAGGGAGGAGGAATGCACCGGTCGTGTCATATTGTGAGGTCATCTTCATTGGAGATTAGTTCCTACAAGATAAGACAGACAGACAGACAGACAGACAGAAAGGTCACATACGTGTTGTACTAACATCATCTCAGTAATTAAATAACTTTTTAATTTCACGTTTTAATCTCTGCAACAATAACAACATTAAATATTTATCAGGGCTGCAGAGAAATTCTTTTTTTAGTGTCTTTAGTATATCCTCAATCAATTAACGGTAGATTAATCGATAATAACAAGAATCATTAGTGTGATGGAAGAAGCTGGCAGCGATCAGTGTACCTTGCTTTGCTAGGTCAGCTGATGAATTAGCTGGGGACCCGGTTGTGAGCGGAGCCCTGTGTGGTGGCCGGCCCTGCGTAGCCTTGGCTTCCAGGCAGCATGGGGTCAAAGTTGAAATCAATGCCGTCTCCGTCCATGAGGTCACTGTTGATGATGTAGTCCACGTCGCAATCCAGATTTTCCGTGAACATGTCTATGTCCAAGTCTGTGGGCAGTCGGTCCTGACCGGTGGGGAAACAGGACGGAGCTCCAAACTGACCCATCGCCTGCAGACTGACGCTGGGCCATCCATGAAGAGAGCCCAACCCTGGCAATGCTGCGTGCTGGGCCTTAAGAGTGGAGAGCTGTGACGGGTCTTGAGCCATACCTGAGAGGATCATCCCCAACCCCATCTGAGAGTGATGCTGGTGTTGCTGTTGCTGTTGATGCTGCTGCTGCTGTTGCTGCTGCTGCTGCTGTTGCTGTTGCTGCTGCTGCTGCTGTTGGTGAAGGTGACGCTGCTGAGGCTGCATCTGAGCCTGAAGCGCCATGGGGGCCACAGTGTTCAGCTCCAGCCCCTTTCCCAACAGCAACTGATTGGGTTTGGGCCTCATCAGGCCCACTCCTCCAGGACTGGGCATGAGGGGGTCCACCTGGGTCATCATGACATCACTCGGAGGGGGGGAGTCAGAGGTGAGCAGGGCTTCCAGACTGGAGGGCACGTGGGTGCTGTAGTGGCTGCTACTACGAGAGACGGAGCTGGAGATGGGGTTGAAGAGGGAGTTGCTGAAGGTCGTCTGCTCTTTGCTGTTGGGTCCGCACTGAGAGATGGAGGCCTGGGTCCCAGTGTGGGTGGGGGCCTGCGGGAGGCTGGATGGTTGCAGCTGATGGAAGGAGGAGAAGCTGGAGCCTCGGGGTAGCAGGGTGGAGGCGGAGGGCAGCGGAGTGGGAGGTGCCGGTGGGGCTGTGCTGGGACTAGCCCCTCCCTGCTGCCCGGTCATCAATGTGAGGCCATCGATCAGATCCAACTCCTCCATGAGGGTCTCGGTGAGGGTGGGGGTCAAGCTCCTGGCAGCGTATCTTCCCAGCAGTCCGTCCTCAGGCAGGTTGTCATCGTCCTCTTGTCCAGGAGCGATGGGGGACAGACGACCGCTCAGGGTGCTGGCATTAGAGCTTGTGCGTGGACGGAAGGTGGTCCACATGTCAGCGTCGTCCAGGCTGCCACGGGACGAGGGGCTACTGCTGTTGACCCCCCATTTGGGAAACTGCTGGGACGAGTTAGGGCTGTCTGCACCCCCTGACCCTGTAGCACCGTCACCTTGCAGTGCCCCTCCAGCGCCGGCTGCTCCCGCCTGCTTCTTGGTCTGCTTGGCCCTCATCCGACTCTTCAACAGTTTGCTGCTGTTGTCCATGGAGGCGGCTCGGCGTCGAGGAGCTTTCCCGGTCTTCCCTCCTTCTGGGTTGAGCATCCACCAGGAGCTCTTTCCTGTGGATTCATTGTGTACCCTCAAGAACTTGTTGTGGAGTGATAGGTTGTGGCGGATGGAATTCTGAGAAGAGGGAAAGGAAAAATAAGTGATGAAAAATGTAGGTTACACAGATTAAAGACACACTTGGTAACAAACATACTTAGCCACGGCCAAAGTTTAAGTTATTCTACAGAAACTCAAACGTGGCACACCTCAATATAATATAGAAAATAGAACTTTCTCATCAAAAGGAAGCAGATAAGTCTTGTAACACACTTTTATGTATATTTTTGTCAGACAATCCATGAATGTTCACTTTTGTCTTCTTGTGACACACTGATTAACTTTACATCCTAAATATATTAAAATATTATTGTGATGCCTTGTTTTATTTTTTTGATAAGCACTGACAGGAACTATAATAGCCTCGCTGCACTGACTCCTTGTGAAAACCAGAATAGAATTTTAAATTCTTCTCATCGACCGTGTCTTTAATAGTCAGGCTCCGTGCACTTACAGACTGACTTATGGTTCCTGTCTGCAAAAGTGGGGGAGATGCGCTCACCATGTTTGCTTTCCTTTTTACTGAAGATCATAGTTAGGGCTGACTCAGGTGTGATTGAGACTTCCCAAAATGCACCTCTCTCCTCTGCTCCTTCTCAAACTGTACACGTTCATATCCTATGCTGAATGTTACCGACTCAGCTTCTGGCTCTTAGTATTGTGCTTTCTCATCTCTCGTGTCTCCTGCTGTCAAGCTCTGCAGATGTTTCCAAACCCAGATGTTATATTACCATACTTTCTTATACATCTGTATGTGGAACCCCCCTCGTCCAGTTGATTTAAGATCTGCTCCCTTTAACAGGGATTTATTTTCTTTGTTTACATCTGCTCTATATGAAAAGTGCCCTGAGATAACTTCTGTGATAATGTGGCAGGACATAAATACAATAGACCTTGTGTTGATACAGTTCACTGAACTGCCAAGTGGTTAACTAGTCAATAAAATGACGATAAGTAAATTGAGTGTTTACAACTAAGATAATCTTTTGAATTGTTATTTAGGTCATTAAGTCACTTTCAATCAAAAAAGACACAAAAAATTCAATTGCTGGTTCTCAATTCGTGAGAATGTGTTGCTCTTCCTTTGCTTTTATGTTAAATTGAAGTTCGTCTGACAAATCAAAACATCCATCATCGCCTGTAGGAAAACGTTAACAAACTGAAGATCCATCAATGACCGAAATGATCCTTTTAAAAGAACAATTAAGTGTCCTGTCACAAAGCAGACTAAAACTAAACCAAGAAAATGCCATTTAATTATGAGCAGTTAATTCACCAAAAATAACAATAATAATTGTTCTATTATTTCACTTACAGATGTTGGTTGCTTTGACATTTTCAAAGTCAATGTATTTGTGTTTATTCATCATTGACCAAACAGATCAATATAGTTTCATCCAGTTAATTAGTCTGCCAGGTGTAATGATATGACATCTATAGTGTTAACGTGACAATAAAAGTAAATCTTCTTCTTCTTCTATTACTCTAATATCTATTATTCCAGCATTACAGTTCATCACACACACACACACACACACACACACACACACACACACACACAACTACACACACACACACACACACACACACACACACTCACCTTCCAGCCGGCTGAGCTGTTGCTGTCTCCTTTGTCCCTGAAGTAAGGTACAGTTTTCACCATCCACTCGTAGATCTGAGCCAGGGTCAGCCTCTTCTCCGGGGAGTTCTCGATGGCCTGGCTGATGAGGTCTGCGTAGCTCTGGTTCCCCCACGCGTTGCGCCGGGACGATCCTTTGCGTGGCGTCGCGCCGGCTCCGCCCACGCCGGCCACGACCCCGCCCTCGGCCGTCGCCGCAGCCTTCTCGGGCTCGTTCGTGATTTGCTGCGGCTCCGGCTTGTCCTCGTCGGCGGGCGGGGTGCCGGCGGCGGACTCGGTGCCGTCCGCGCCCTCCGGTTTGACAACCGAGATGTCGGGCCTCGGCAGAGGCCACGTGCACGAGCGGGGTCTGCTCTGCGGCTCAAAATCTGGGTCAATCGGGGGCACCGACGACTGCTCCATGGCGGCGCGCTGGATTTCCACTCAACCTCAAAGATGGAGACCACTCAACACATCGACCTTTCAAAAGTTTAAAGTGAACTCTGAGCCGGACGATGCGTGAAAAAAAAAAAACTTCCCGACACAAAAACAAGATGCTTCACCCACCGAGGGGCCTACAAGAGAGACGCAATAATCTGGACACACCAATAGCCTCAGTTAATCCTCAGATTGGAGATTAGGGAACCCAAATAATCTCCTTAATAGTAACTATCATAAACCTTCCGATTTATATAGAATGAAGGAGGCTGGGACGATGCGAGTCTCTTTGTTTGAATGAAATAAAAACAAAAGTGGCTGAGTGAGGATGAGCAGCAAAACATCTGGATCTATGGAGCTTTAGTCTGCTGTGAGTGAATTCAACAATCACGAATGCACATGGATACAAAATGCAGCCATTCCTCAAACTCAAACTATATCACTGTCAATGTTAGAATTTAGAAATAGTATATTTTAACAATTTCTCAAAGTGGAACTAGGCAATGAATTAAGATTAGAAAAACTAATATTAAGATTGAATTCGTACCAGATTTATCAAATTAAATACAAAACTCCTGATCCAAACCCAGGATGTTGCTTTTTTTAAACTGTAATACCACAAAGGCTACAAACAGGGATTAGCTGGCTACTGTCCGTCTCCACTTGTAAACAACGTGATGTCTGAGCTCCACAACAGAAAATACCTCCAGCCAAGATTTCTTTTTAAAAAATCCTAAAACGACCCACAGGCAGTCAGAGATCAGTCCGGACAGTGGAGGGGTAAAAACAGTAGATGAACCGAGCAGCGGTTTTGTTCATCGACCGTAAAAGAGTAAAAACACGCAGTGGCCTGTTAAAGATACTAAACACGCGCGGAGAGGTCGAGCGAGGAAACCGGGATGAAGTCAAACACACGTCGGCGGTGGTTTAATGGAGTTCGGCTGTTTAAAGTGTGAGGAAGTGGATGGAAGAGCAGTGAGAGAAGTCCGTGCTTCAGGTCCGCCACATTGCGGACAGGCGCATGTCACCATCTGCCATGTTTCTCCACACTCCTGCGGCGGCACACGATGCTCGGAGAGGCGCTGTAGGAAAACCACTCCTTCGACCTCGGCCCGCAGCTCGGCCGAGCTTCGCCCCGGGGTCTCGGTGATCGCGCTCCGGAGCGGATCCCCCTGCGGGCTGGGTGAAGCTGGGTCGCCTCTGGAGGTCTGTCGGCTCCCACCGCCGCACTTTGAAAACAGCACGACAGCCTCCGTAACGTTAGCTTCTCCGAGCTCCTGCTACTCCAGAGTTTACAATCCGGGGAAAAGTCCGCGAAAAGCCGCACGTAACTCCCTCCAAGTCCCCGCGTTTGACGAGCGGTGGGTCCGGCGGGACTTCGTGTCGTCGTGAGGCTCCAGATATTCACTCCTCCGCCGTCTTTTTCACTTGTTTTGTTTTGTTTTGTTTTGACTCGAGGCGAAGACTCCCTTCTGACGTCTGTTTACCACTGTCAGGCACCGCGCACTGCGCCTGCGCACAGCGGGATTCTGGGAAAGCGAGTCATTCACGTGACAGCACACAGGCGTAAACAGCAGCCCCGCCAGGCGTCGTGTACCTGTTGTGGTCCATTATGTAACCGTTTATGAAAGTGTGCTAAGCCCCAGGTTATTTACAGAAGGCTATTAGCGGTCAGAGGTGGGAGAAGTAGGCCACTTAGACCTGGTGCTGTGGTAGACGTTCAGTTCAAAAATGGAAAAAAACTACAAGTTAAAGTCATTTTACTCAAGTCTTAGTACAGACCTGATGTCAGAAACTTTAAAAGTATGTAAGACCTGATGTCAGAAACTTTAAAAGTATGTAAGACCTGATGTAAGAAACCTTAAAAGTACTTGAGTACAGACCTAATATCAGAACCAAGTCTATTTGGGAAAGTACTTACCTTTACACATAATTGATAAATTCATACCTTGAAAGATTACATTGTCGGTGAATACCATTGTAAGTACAGATTCACATTCTTTTCATCATTTTATACTCAAATTTTATTATTAGAACAGAAACATTGTATAATTGAGGAACACAACCTAGTGATTCAATTTAAAAATAACTCAGTTTCTATATAAAGGTTTTAAAGCCTTTGCATGTATTTTATGAGCAGTGTATTTTTTCTATTTTTAATTAGCTGTTTACTGTTGAATTCTCTGAATGTGTGAGTTTTTCCGTATCATATTTCTCAGTGATGTCATGATTGCCTTCTTGGCATCTGCAATTAGAACGGTTGTGTATTTCCTTGGGTCAGATTACGTAACCCGGCACTACACACGTCTTGTGTAATTCATAGTTTACTATCACTGCCAAGCACTCAGCATCATCCTGCTACTTTCTCACTCATTCACAACTTTTTAAGTCTGACTTCATACAGAAGTAATTTACCCGTATGAACATTAAGCATTTTCTGGCTGTAATAATTCCTCCTTTACACACTGGACACTTAACATGGAACATGGATGTTCATTCTTGAACGTGGGAACATATGCCTGCAATTTTATTTATCTAAAACATGAGCTTGGTTGTGTTGTTTTTCACTGAGGGTTTTTCTAAGTATTGTTAGAAGTAGCAGCTGTACATAACTTACAGTGTGTGTACAATTATATAATCATATGTTATTACATTTATCAAATGTGCTTTTATGGAGCTCATAAAATCTAAATCTCCATCTCAATCTCTGAAGTTAATTCCTGCACTGTTACTCATTATCTGAGTCATTACTAAGAAGTGGTTGGCTTCCTGTTTAAAATACTGTGGTGGCTCCAGCTGTCTGACAGCCAGGTGTGGCCCCAGATTTCTCTTTTGTGCTGCTATGACTAACGTGATAACTCAGGGTGTGGGATCAACATCAGGAACCGGAGGGCAGGTAACCAGGAACTAGACAGGACCCACCACAGATCTGTGATATGTTGTTGCAGTGGTCTCCTCTATGGTTTCAATGCTGGGCTTTTATGCCCCGCGGTTGGATCAGTGTATGGGTACTGATACATGAGCTCAGGGGATCTGGGCCTGACTTGATGAAAACTCATTTTTTTAAAGGGAAACACTGAGATCTGTTTAATTGTATGTTAGAAAAAAAATACATATTGTATATTTAAGATGAGGTACTCTTAAAATGAATTGTAATTGAATTGGCCTTGGGCCTTCAGCTTCTTTTTAAGGAGTCAGAAAAAACTCACTGGTGAGGTTTCAGTCTATTCTTAACTCATCCTATCCGGTTTTATCCACTTGATCCACTGCCACAGCCTGCGCAATACAGGCCCAAATTTGATAACCTGGTCAAGCAGGAAATTTCAGCCTTGATGCTTGAAAGATCCAAGTGTATTTAACCCTTTAGATGTTTTGTCTGCCAAAAATCTGTGACCATATATGGGCCCACTGTGTGCATGTATAAGTACCATTACCTCAGTAAAAGTACAGAAGTATTCTGGGCAAAATATGAATCAAATATCAAGAGTGAATGTACTCTTTCTGCAGAAAAGGGGCCCCTTTCGGTGATATATTATTTTTATACAAGGTATTAGATTATTAATGAAGATGCATGAATGTGTGAGCAGCATTTAGCATTACTTTACATAGCTACAGTTTGGTAATTAAGTCGGGGACCAGTGGACCACTGAACCAAGGATCACAAGAGAAATCTCATAGGTTGTGACTTGATAAACATCTGCTACAACATTTTTGGTCATTAACTGTTTTTCTTCTTTTTTTTTGGTGAAAACAATATATTTAATCTTCAACAATATATTGTATTTTACAAGAATACCACACATTAAAGGTTCAGTGTGTAGAATTTAGTGACATCTCGTGGTGAAGTTGCATGTTGCAGCTGAACACCCTTCACCTCACCCTCCCATTCCAAACATGAAAAAGAACCTGTGGTAGCCTTGAGTTGTCATAAAAACTCAAAAGGTGTCTAGTTTGTCCAGTCTGGACTACTGTAAAAACATGGCGGCTTCCATAGGGAGGACTCACTCCTGATGTAAATATAAAGTATTTAAATATAAAGGGCCCATTCTACGGTAAAGAAAACAACAACTAGTACAATTTACATGAAACACACTAGGATTATTAGATATTAAATTTCTGCCAATAGATCCTTTTCACCTGAAACTTACACACTGAACCTTTAAATCCTTGAAAAGTAACCAGGCCTGTATCTGCCAGACATAAGTAGTGGAGTAAACTACTATATCTTTATTACATTTTTGTGCTTATGAGTATAAAGTTGCCTTATACTAAACAGACATATGAAAGTCAAGTAGAAGTATTTCAAAATTGTAATTAAGTACAGTACTTGAGCAAATGTACAAAGTTACTCTCTACCACTGGGCCTCTGTAGTACCCTAGCTTTCTAAACACATACAAAGAAGTAATCACGTTTCATAATGGAAGTAGAATTTAAGTGTATGTTTGTAATGTCAGCCATGTTGTTGCAGGAAAGACTGTTTCTTTCTGGACTTCAACTCCCAGAGGTGATTGCGGTCGTTGTCTGTGTTTACAACCAGCTGACATCCGGCGTCTTCCCGTCCATTAGCCACCGATACCAACTGTCAACGATATCCGTCTGCACTCGATATATTCCCCACGAAAATCGCCCCCCGCGGATTCGTCAACTCAACTGGATGCAAAATCCCATCGTACTGATCCGATGCAGGTGAGGTCCAAAAGACAAGCGGCACATTTGTTAAGCCAGCGAGCCAGCGACGGCGGAATGCCATAAGCTAACACAGCCGCTAATGCTAACGCTAGCCTTCTCTATTAGCCGCGGCTTATTTACGACATCTGTCCGCACGAAACTCGGAGCTAGGTGGTGTCTCGCGGGGAGACATGTCCCCCAGATGTTTCCCAACAAAACGATTTTATTACTGTTACCAAGCTAATTAGCAGCGGTGGTTGAATTAAGCTAATATAAGCTGCGTTAGCCCGCTAGCTTCATTAGCTTAACGTTAGTTGTCAACCTGCAGAGACTCGAGCTGCTACGCTCGGTTTATTATTTATTTATTGAGGTGAGAACATTTATTTGCTATCAGGCGCTTCAGCTAAATGCATGTTGTGGTGATTGGGTGATAACGCTCCGCCGGGAAGGTGTCGGCGGCAGAGAAGCGTCGGGTCCCTGGGTCTGCGGTGATGTGCGGTGATGTGCGGTGCCGCTGCGGTGCCAGGCTGTGGAGGCAGACTCACAGTGTTTCTGTTGTTTGTGTCAGGGCTCTGGCCCCGTCTCCCGCAGCTGAGCCACAACCAGTCCTGTCCTCTCTGATCCACGTCCTTCCTCCTGCCTGAGCCATGAGCACCCAGAGGGATCTTGATATGGTGAGTGAGGGTCTGCACGCTTCTCTGAAGATTGTTTTTTCTAATGTCAACACACACACGGAGTCTGCCACACCGTCCCACATACTTATATCACTCGTGTCATCATTCTAATTACATTTTTTTAAACGATTACGATTCCCCCCAAATTGAAATGATTCAGGGATTGGGGGTTGGGGGACGATCATGGATTAGCCAATGCCCACAAACACTTAGCTAAGACTGGGGCTGCTGTGCCTGTGAACACCATCTGTCTAATCTCTGTTAAAACGTTGCCCTACTTTCCTTTCAAGGTTTAGATGCCAATTGATTGTACCCTCATACTAAGTCGCCCCTCGCCCCCACCTTAACCCTCACAACCGCAGGAATGGACAGAATACATTTAGAGTCGCATCAGAAAATGAAGTAATGCTGAGAAGTCCTGCTAACTGTACTTGGCAGCTGAATTCATAACCAGTAAATATTCACTTCATAAAAATGTTTTGCATTCATGAAGCTGTAAACAAGTGAACTTTAGAGGGGTTTTTTCATAAATTGTCCAACATAGGTAATACATTGCTTGCATTTTAAGAAAATTAATCTGCAACAAATTTTTACAATCAATTTGTTTCTGTCCAATCTATTTTAATTGTCTGTTTATGATATTCCAATAAACACTTTTCAGATTTTCTGGGTGTTGATCAAACAAATTATTTGAAGATGCCACCTTGAGTTCTCAGAAAATTCTGTGGGTGGTTTTTTTATATATATATTTCTCCTGAATTTGCAATCTCAAAACATTTTCGAAAAAATAATCTACAGATTATTCTCAATAATGAAACTAATTTATAATTGCAAGTCTTAAAAGACTGTAAAGCCTAAAGACATTTGCATTTTTATTACACAACCTTAAAATTATATACAAACAGCAACATTATCAATCAGTATATCCAGGACACCTACATCAGGTAACAACTAACAGCGAGACAGAGTGCGGTTTACTGGAGCATCTCTCTTGGCAGCTAGCCTGATGTATTAGCTTGTCGTGGGTTGTTTTTAGGAAACCAGACCAACATCTATTATGTGTAAGCATTTGAAAGCTCTGTTGACCCTTACAAAAGAAAGTCATAACAGTGTTTAAAGAATTGAATTTCTGGCAATGGATCGGAGAACCTTGAGCACTTTTGTGATACAGTACGTTGCCATGAGCAACCAGGCAGATTTGACTTTGTTTTTATTTTGCTGGGGATGAAAGGGACGGGGACAAAGCTTGTTAATGATGACATGGTGTGTAACTCCACATTGAGGTTATTCAGT